TTTATCTTTTCGAGGACCGTCTCACTGACTTGCACAGTGGCTGCGCTAACTCGCGTTCCCATTGGCAGTGGCGAAGGGTCACTTCTTCCCCACATCCTCAGCAACATTCCTTATCTTTTGTGTGGATAATGGCCTTTCTGTGATAAGATGGAGTCTCAGGGTCACTGTGATTCACTTTTCTTTTGTCTTTTGGAGACAGGGTCTTGCTATGCGGTTCAGGCTGGCCTCGAGCTCACTTCCAGCCCACGGAGGTCTGGAACTCCCAATGACCCTCCTGCCTCAGCCTCCTGAGTGCCGGGACCACCATGCCCACCTGCAGTTTACATTTTGTAGTGACTAGTGATGATGAATTTTTTTCTTTCCAAATACTTTTGGCCATTTGTACTTCTTCATTATTGGTTGGGAGATTTGATTTTTTTGTTTTGTGGGGTTTTTTTGAGCTCTTTATGTATTCTATGTATAAATCCTCTGTCAGCAGAGTAGCTGGCCGACCTTCTTTTCTCATTCTGTAGCCCAGTGATGGTGAACCCTTTAGACCTTTCAGTGCTACACACAGCCTGTGGTAGCCTGGTGCTGTGCCTAGCACCGTTGTAGCTGTGTCTACTGTTAGTTGTTTCCCTTGCTGTGCAACTTTTAATTTGCTGTCATCCCACTGTATCATTTCCTGTACTCTTGGAGTCCACTTGTTCTTTGCGGGAAGTCTTTGCCTGTGTCTGTGGCTTCAAGTCTTTCCTCTTTTAGTGGTTTCAAGGTTTCAGGGCTTCAACTGAGGTGTCTGGCCCATTTTGGTTGTGGTTTTTTTTTTTGTTTGTTTGTTTTTTTGGTGGAACCGGGGATTGAACTCAGATCCTTGCGTTTGCCAGTCAAGCGCTTATCCTACTGAGCCATCTCCCCGGCTCCCCCATTTTGAATTGAGTTGTACATGTGGGGGAGAGAGGGGTCTAGTGCCAGCTTCTCCAAGTGGATGTCCAGTCTTTTCTGGCACTGTTCATTAAAGAGGCTGCCTTCTTCCCAGTGAGTAGTTTTTCCTCCCTTGTCCAGAATTGTGTAGTGTGGATCTGTCCTCTGTTCTTTTTTTCTTTTTTTTGGCGGAACCGGGGATTGAACTCAGGCCCTTGTGCTTGCCAGGGAAGCGCTTATTCCACTGAGCCAGCTCCCCGGCCCCTCCTCTGTTCTGTCTCATTGGTCTGTGTGCCAGTTTTTGTGCCAGTGCCATGTTGTTTTGGTTACTGTGGCTTTGGAGTATGATTTGAAATCTGGTGCTGTTTTGCCTCCAGCCTTGCTCTTGCTGCCGAGAATGGCATTGGCTGTTCCGAGGCTGTTGTGCTGCTGTATGCGTTTCAGGACTACGTATTCATGAAGAATGTCAGTATTTTAAAGAGCATTGCATGGTAATTTGGCTGTTTTAATAATAGCCTGACAATTCTTGAACAGGGGATGTTTCTATTTGTTTGTTTGTTTGTATTTTAGGGAAGGGTCTACAGGGTGTTCAGGGTCTCACTACTAGATCAGACTTGTAGTGATCCGCCAGTTTACAGCCTCCCTAGAGCTGGGCTTACAGGCGGGCGCCACCACACCCAGTCTCCATTGCAGTCTCAGCATTCCCTGGGGGCGAGGCTGGCATGGCAGGCCCAGGGATTGAACCCCAGGCCCTGTGCCTGCTTGCAGGGGCTTTAATCCGCTGAGCTATTTGGTTTGGTTTGGTTTTTGGCGGAACCGAGGATTGAACTCAGACCCTTGCGCTTGCCAGGGAAGCGCTTATTCTACTGAGCCATCTCCCCAGCCACTCTGCTATTTGGTTTTGTCTTCAACTTCTTTATTCAGTTTTTGAAATTTTCATGGCAAAGACCTTTCACTTCGTCGACTGCACTGAGTTCTAGAAGGTGGTGTATGTGTGCACGCACATGTACACTATTGTTCCCTGATTTCTTTCTGGCCTCGTCCATCACTGATGTATAGTAAAGCTACTAATTTCTTAAGATGGATTCTGTAACCTGCTACTTACTGAACTTATTTCCCAACTGTAAGTCTTCTGGTGCAGTCGTTGGCATTTGCTAAGCGTAGGATCCTGTGCTCTGCAAACAGGGACAGTTTGCCTTCTTTCCTGCCTGGACCCCTTTCTTTCTTGCTCTTACCTAAGGGCTCAGCTAAGATTTCAAGGACTGTACTGACCAAGTGTGCTCAGAGGCATCCTTGCTGGCCCTGGCTCTGGAGGAAAGGCTCTCGTGCTGGGCAGAGAGTCTTCTGCTGTGCTGCTAGCCTCATGAGGCCCCACCTCTATCCCGGACAGCCCATGGCCGAGGGATGGTTCTTGGGGCCTTGGGTAGGGCCAGAGGAAACCTCAGGTAGCTGTGGACAGAGATGGCCTTGGGGATGCTCCATGCCTTGGGTGGGTCATAGCAAACCTGCTGGCTTTGGATGCAAAGCTGCTGTAAGATTTTTCATTTATGTGCTCGGAGGATCTTGCACAGCTCTTTGCTCTTCTTTAGTATTCTGTCAAAACAAAGCCCCAAGATTGCACTCCTGTCTACATAGCACGTGACATGGCAGTGCTAGGAATGGGGAATGTAATGTTTCCATCAGCTCGATTGTGTTTGAAACAGGAATTCCCTCCACATAACCAGCATTTCTCCTTGCAAGCTCTGGATTGGATACCCGAGCCCGCGGTGCCCTAGAGAGAAACACGGGGCTGGAGCTGTGAGCTCTGGGTGGCTGGAGCTCTGCAGGGTGGGCTGAGAGGTGAGCTCCTGGTGGGCAGCCTGTCACAGAAGTGATTCTGCTGAGTGGCCAGATCCCAGCTGTCAGGGTGCACACTGAGCACCTCATACCTGTCAAATGCCAGCCTGGATCCCTGGACAACATTCGTGGCCAGCGAACAGAGCCGACTGCGCGCCTAGGTCCACCTTCCTCCAGGGAGAGGACAGGAGGGGCCAGGGACTTGTTGGACAGTGGACCAGGGCATGGGAGGGTCCGGGTGGGGTGGGCAGCCTGGTGCTTCGGGCAGGCTGTTGCCTCATCCTGGAGCCCTGTCCTAGCCTGCTGTATGTGGTCATGGACAAGGTCCTGAGGTGAGTTTGTGAGCAGTCACTGATGCTTGGGGTGACCTTGACAACCAGTTCTCCCAAATGGGCAGATTTCATACCAGGCCCCTCCCTTCACTGCATGGTGTTCTGTTTTAGGGACACTACCCCAAGGGTGGCCAGAACACAAGTTCCTGCACGTGGCCCACTCTGTGCCGGTGGGGGTTACATGCCTCTGGCCTTGAAGAGCAGAGGAAGCAGTGTAGACAGGGCTGGGGGAGCAGAGGGCCAGCCCTAGGCCCCACTCTCCCCCAGGTCTTCTGTGGATCTGGGCACCTGGTGGCCCTGGCTCTAGGTCTTAACACTCGACAAAGAAGGCAGGGCCTGGGGGTGGCCAGGCCCTCAGGAGTGAAAGGTCGGTCCCTTTTCACAGTTCTGGGGATTGGATTCAGGAGCTCTGCTGCTGGGCAGCAGCTCGGCCTCCCTGTTTTTTAAAACTTGGCCTTTCTGAGACAAGGTCTTGCTATGAAACTCAAGCTGTCCTTGAACTCACTCTGTAACCCAGACGGCCTTGGACTTGCAGTGATTGTCCTGCCCCAGCCTCCCAGGTGCTGGGACTACAGGTGTGCACCACCACTTCCAGCCCCCTTTCTATCTTCTAGACAGAATCTCATAAGCTCCCCAGGCTGGCCTCAAACTTGTGATTCTGAGGGCTCTGCTTTCTAAGTAGCTGAGATTATAGGCACAGGCCATCAGACCTGGCTTCATATTTTTTTAAGTGACAAACATAGATCATTCAGGCAAGAACAAGGGAGAGGCTGACTTAGAAAAAAAAAAAAAATCCTCAGTCCACTCAGCAGCTGTGTGGGTCCCAGGTATGGAGGCCGCTCAGGACTCCCGGCAGCAGTCACCTGAGGCCCTCCCGGGGCCCACATGTCCCTCCCTTGTGGCAGGGCAGCATCTGGGTGGGAGGTGTGGCAGGAGCCCCTTGGGAAGGCCCCACAGAAGGGCCATCCCAGCATTGCTCACACTCAGATCCGACCACCAGCGTGAGAGCAGGAGGAGCGCCGGAGCGGCACCCATGGGCACACGGAATGGGAGCTGCAGGCCGTGCTGGCCAGCGTCTAGGAGGATGAGTGAAACGCTGCTATATGCATTTGTTTATTTATTTTGGCAGAACTGGGGATTGAACTCAGGCCCTCGTGCTTGCCAGGCAAGCACTTATTCTACTGAGCCACATCCCCGGCCCCTGTTATGTATACTTATTAATGTTCCTGGAATTTTCATAAAAGTTGATATTCCCCAGGAACCTTTTCAGCTGCTCTGTGTTTTTGAACTGGTCATACAGCTCACTGGATCTTATTTTGGCCAATTCATATGTGCATGGAACATACTTGGGCATGCCCACTCCGCCCCAGGTGTCCTGTATGTTCTTATCTACATGACCTCCAGGCCTTAGTAGTGGAGTGTCCCCAGCTGGGAACAGGTGGTTGTCTTGGGAGTCCTTGTGATCTCCAAGGGGGGACTTGCAGGTCAGAGGAGCAGAAGAGCTCAGAGCAGAAGGCTGAGTCAGGGTGACTCTGGCTTAGTAGAATGGTGGTGGAGGGCAGACTCATTCCAAGCCAAGTTCCCTAGGCCTCTTGAGAGAACAGGGCAGTGCAGGAAGAGCTGGAATTGCGAAGGGTGGTTGTGTCCTTCATAGCCTTACCTGGCTCTTGGAGCGGTGCCACCGGGATTAGGGAGGGTTGTTGCCTTGGCCACAGAACTGCAGTGGTCCGTGGGGGCGAAAAGCTTCAGGAGGTTTCAGTGAGCGCGTGACGATGGTGCTGGGGTAAAGGACGAGTAAGAGGGCCTAGGTGCGGCTCACCCTCCTGCGTCACTGGGGCCTGGGGCCAGGTCTGGTCTAAGGCTGAGGCAGCCCATGTGCAGGTATGACTGTCCTCGGCTCTTTATTTATGGAAGTGTTTTCCCCTCTGGCAGAATTCCTCTCTCCTAAAATGGAGCCAGGTAAAAAGATGGACTCGGCCAGTGCGCTGCAAACCAACCCACCGCTGAAGCTGCAGCCTGACCGCGGTGCGGGCTCTGTGTTTGTCCCTGAGCAGGGTGGCTACAAGGAGAAGTTTGTGAAGACTGTGGAGGACAAGTACAAGTGCGAGAAGTGCCACTTGGTGCTGTGCAACCCCAGGCAGACCGAGTGTGGGCACCGCTTCTGCGAGAGCTGCATGGCCGCCTTGCTCAGGTGGGTGCCGCGGGAGGCGCGAGGCTCCGTGGGCAGGGCTTGGGCTGCTTCTGGGAGTCGCGGCTGAGGCCGCTGTGGAGCCTGCCGGCCGGCCGGGCACACATGCTACCTGCCTCCCACTGCCGTGTCTGCCCTCCCACGAGGTCTGCGTTCTACCTCTGTGGAGCTAGGGCTCTGGAGAGACCACGAGTCCTTCAGCGCAAGCCTCTGCCGTAGGAGAGGCTGGCGTGAGAACAGTGGGCTTCTCCCCGGACGTCCCCAGCCAGGTGCCACGCGGTGGGCGACACAGAGCAGCGCTGCCGTCCTGGCATCACAGGCAGGCTGGAGTTCATGGCAGAAGTAGCCCTGGCTTGGCTGGGTATGGTGGCGCACACCTGTGACCCCAGCACTTGGGAGCAGAGGTGGTGGACTGTGAGTCCAAGACCTGCCTGAGCAATGCAGCGTGTTCAGACCATGAGAGCCGCTGTCACCGCCGGTGCTGCATGCTTATTTCTCAGGCCGCCGCCTTCGAGGTGTGTGGCCTGGCCAGCTGCCCCTCCCACCCAGCCATTCCCACACTCCGGCCCTGCCGCCACCTTCTTTGCTTCATCCTGTGTCCTGTAGTGTTCTCACCCTCTTGGCCCCTGCACACAACCACGCATTCCTGCTGGGGTGGTAGAGGTGAGCGGCCCGTCAGGCAGGGGTGCACAGTGGGTGTAGCACCTGTCCCCGCTCCCGGGGACCCAGGCAGTGAGGCTCTGTGTCTTTTTCATACACAGTGGCGTTAGCTTTGGGGGATGAGGCCAATGCAGCCAGCAAGAAGGGGCCTCAGGCCTGTGGATGCTGCTCCAGGCACGTCCCCAAGGCTTGCGCGCAGCTGTGGGAGCAGCGGCTTCCTTTGGAAAAACTGCAATGTGAGGGCAGGTCCTCTTTTCCCACCTCCTTTGACTCCCTATTTAAACCTGATTGCCAGGACACCTAAAGTCTACTGTGTGGAGAGCCAGGCTGGCCTATCCTGGAGAAGAGTGGCTCTGTGGGGCCTGAGCCCTCCCCTCTAACATGCTGTTTCTTTCACAGCTCTGCTAGTCCCAAGTGTACAGCGTGTCAAGAGAATGTCCTCAAAGATAAGGTATTCGTGGTGCTTGCCTGGCTCAGCTGGGAGGGGGATGCATCTGGTACCTTAGACACTGTACCTCGGTGTGGATGGTGGTGCCGTGCCAGGCCACTCCCAGTTCCCAGCTCTGTGACATGCATGCCGTCTCAGTGCCCAGGACAGTCACCATGCCCTGGAAATGTGGTGCATGTGACATGCTGAGGGACTGTGGGGCTGGGCTGTCTGTCCCAGGCGGCTAGTAACTGCCGTCCTCAGGGGTCTCTACCCACGCAGCTCATGGCCCACTCTTACCCTGGGCTTCGGGGTGCATCTGAATTTGTGCCTCCACATGGTGACTCCATTGCCCTGTTCACTGCCCACACGGTCCTGTACCCAGAGTCAGGAGTCGTGGGCCCCCCAGGCTCTCACATGTTCCTACCAGGTGGTGATTCCCATACCCCTAAGCCCTGGCAGGCGTACTTGTCATTTCAGACAGCTCAGTCTTAAAGTACTGAAATATCAGTAAGAATATGTGTGCTTCCACCATTTTAATTAGTGAACCTATAGGCTTTTAACGGGGTTCTGGGGTTTCCTGTGTGCAGCCCCAGCTTGTGTCCTTACTGGCTGGGGTAGCCCAGGTGTGGGCAGCAGGGTGAGGGCCCTGGCAGTAGATACCCGGCTGCTGGGGATGAGGGATAGGCGCGGGGAGCTGGCCCAGAAGTGGTCTTCAGCCGGTTGGTTCTTAGCATTCAGCACCATACAGGAAAACCAAGTGTGCAGCCAGGTCCTCATCTCATTGTGAAAACAGGTGCAGTTCACAAGAGGACAGTGGACCTTGGGCCAGGGTGGCTTTGCAGTGTCTGTTTCTTTGTTCTAAGTTAACTTTGTTTTTGATGGCACCGATAGCTGAGGAAAAGCAGCTGGGTTTGCTGGAGAATCTTTAATGAGATGCACAAAAGCTTTGGATTGGCAGGTCGGAACGGAGCCCATGGGCCTTGGGACCTGTCCTTCCCCACGTCTCCCAGGTCCCTCATCTGGACCAGGGGCCTGGAGTAAATAATCCGAGGGCGTGTCGGCTCTTAGGTGCTGTGCTCGTGTTATTCTCGTGTTTCCATCAGTGTTGCTCTGTGAGGTTGAACCCAAGTGATTGAAGGAGTTGAGCGGCACAGAAAGGAAGCAGATTCCCCACCCTTAGTAGAGCTGCTTTGCTGACTAGCCGCCTTAGCACGTCACCTCTTAAGGCTTGTGTTTGTGAAGGCTTAGCTGATTCCAGGCTAGTTTATTTTTAACTCTTAGCAGCTTTCATTCTGTTCCTTTGCCTGTGGAGCCAGAAGACAGATTAAGAGCTGACTTTCCTGTGTGGAGCTACGGTGGGGTTCTTGAGGTCACCTTGGGATAAGGTGCTGTGCTGCATTGTTTCAAAGAGCAGTGTGCTTGACCTAAAATAAAGTCAGAGAAAGACAAGCAGGTGTTTAAGACAGAAATGCTGCAGTATTAGGTTAACCTTTGTGTACTTAATTAAAAGCCTTCTTTTGTTGAAAAATGACTTATAAGCAGCATAACCTCCATAGGAGGCACCACCCCACAGCTGTTCCGTTAGCAGGAACTAAAGCCGGGCAAGTTTTATTGAAAAAGTTGAGCAACAGAAATTCTCTCATACCCTTCAGGAAGTGTAAGTTGCTACAGCTGCTTGGGAAATAGCCTGGCTTTGTGTAGCATTCGCTCGCAATTCACCTTCTGGCTCATCTAGTAGGTAAGAGCGGGTGGTTTCCACTGTGTCTCTTTGAGAAGACACTGCCTCCCTCAGCTCATGGCAATGCAAACGACCCTTCGTGCTTGTGAGGTTTGCTCCCAGTTGCTCTTCTGATTTTTTAAGTGGTTTTGCCTTGACCAGAACAGCAACGGGGAGAGATTAAGAAGCGTTAATCCTCTGAAGCAGTGTCTCTCGATTTCAGGTGTTTAAGGATAATTGCTGCAAGAGGGAGATCCTGGCCCTGCAGATCTGTTGCCGGAATGAGGCCAGGGGCTGTACTGAGCAGCTGACGCTTGGGCATCTGCTGGTGAGTGCTGGGTGCTGGGGCTCTGAGGCCACAAGGAGGGCACCGGCCTCCAGGCGGTAGCGCGTGAGGGGCACGGCACCTTCAGGCCGAGAGCACCTGGGCCTTGCGGAGCAGAGCCCAGATACTCAGTGGTATTTTGTGACACCAGCAGCAGAATTATGCAGGCCTCACCCTTGTTAGAGTAGAGGGAAGCCTGCATTGAACACTGTTTTCCCCATAACATTTCGCGTAGTTTATTTTTTTGGTAGCGTTAATCTTACTTTTTTACTAGGGTCAAGTTTATGCTGGGAGGTTACTTGAATTGGAGTAAAATCAAACCCTTCGCTTGCCCCTGTGTCCCCCTTCCCCTGAGGAGGTGCTGATGCCATCCTGGCGCTAGTGTGCTTTGCTCACCCTGGGCCAGGTGCACGCCTGTGTCCTGCGTGGGAGCTGCTCTGCCCCCACGGGCCGGCGGGACGGGGTTCGGCCGCGGCGCTCGGGCTGCTGCAGAACCGGAACGGCTTGCCCACAGGTGCACTTGAGGAACGACTGCCAGCTCGAGGAGCTCCCCTGCACGCGCGCCGACTGCAGGGAGACGGTGCTGAGGCGAGACCTGCGTGACCATGTGGAGAAGGCCTGCAAGTACCGCGAGGCCACGTGCACCCACTGCAAGAGCCAAGTCCCCATGATCACGCTGCAGGTGCGGCCTCTGATGGGCGTAGAGAGAGGGGTAGTGCCAAACAGCAATTTTCATCTCACTTTATTTCAGAGGAAAGCTGTATTTGTTTTCCCTGTTTTGATTTATGTAATTAACATTTTCCATTGCCTTGATTGAATATCATTGGGGTGTCGGATAAAGGAAGAATGATTACTCAGAAAAGGTAGAATCTGTAACTTGTCCTAGAGAATGGCCTCAGAATTGGGATGGGCTGCTTATCTCCACAGCTGCATGGCAACTATCACTCTGAATGGGCTCATTTAGACTTCAGCGTTGACACAGCTGTCTTGGAGAGAGGAGGATGTAAAGTGTTTTCCTGCCTCCGTTATTTGAGCAGGGTTCTGTGCTGTGTGTGCATGGCAGGCATGTCACTTCTGTGTAAGCTGAGGAAAGCAGAGGCGTCAGGGAAGAAGACGGCATATGCAGTGGCCTCCTGGGTGCCCGGGCTTCCTGGACAGGCGCAGGGACCTCACAGAGCCAGTGTCTGCACCACAACTCTGCAGAGGCTCCAGTGTCAGGGAAAGGGAGGCAGTCAGGGTCCACTGCTAGGGCCATGGTGACTGTCGTGGGGGGCGCCTTTGGGGAGTGCATGGGTCCTCAGCCGGCCAGTGATGTCCAGGACTCGCAGGGGCCATGGGAGGGGGAGGGGTGAATAGGGCAAGTGGAGCAGCTGTGTGTGGTGGGTCTTGCAGTGGCTGGGGATTAGGAGTGGGGATTAGGCTGATGTGAGTGCATCCCACAAGAGCCGCTAGGTGACTGGGGTCCTAGGGGCTGGGGCTCAGTGGAGCAGGGAGGATCCGTGTGACTGGTGTTCCTTGTGACTCGGGACTGGAGCAGGTGGAAAGGAGATTGAGGGTCATGGGAGCTGGGCACAGATGCTTCTTGTGTGCTGGGAGTGGGTGGCAGCCCCATGGCAGGGGCTGTCTGGACAATCTGGCAGGGGTGCCCTTGGCAAGTAGGGGTGCCAGTCATTAGGAGGAGGGAACTAGGGGCACCAGGGGCGTGAAGCTGAGCTCCTGGTGCTGTTCTGACCCAGGTGGTGACAAGTCCAGGAGGTTTTGAGGTCTGTTTCTGTCCCCTCTGTGTTTGTTACTCAGCCTCTTTCCACTAGGAAGTCTTCTGCTGACGGGTGCTCTGGGCTCTGAAGAGTCATGCTCTTCTCTTTGGGAAACAGTTGTAGTATTGGTCGTAACTGATTGCTGCTGTAACTGGCCTCCAGTGGTAAGATGCAGCCCTGGGAACAGTACTGTGGGCCTTACACGTGCTCATCTATTGCTGTCAGAATTATACACTGCTACTTGCGCAAATCAGTTATTAGAGGGTAGACCCTAGCAGTTAGTTTTAATTTGAGAAGGAACTGTGGACCGTGTCCTCCATGCCCTCGTATGCCTGAGCTACACGGACATGGCCTGGGTTCTCAAAGCATCACGAGAGCCCCTGGGGCCTGGCCCTGCTCAGCACTCGGCCGCTCCTCAGAGCTGTGGCCAGCGAGGCAGCTGTGCGCGGCGGCAATTCCCTGCAGAGAGCCCGGGACCCACAGGAGCACTGGCAGCCTGCAGGTCAGGAGTGCCTCGGCAAGGAGGTGTCCTGTGATCCTCTTGGGTCTGCACCTGCAGAGACCAGGGAGGAAGACGGCAGGCTCAGCCTGGGCAGCAGTTAGCCAGTCTGGCGTCTCAGTCCTTCTGAACTTTGGCATATTCCTGTGATAGAACGGTTCATAAGCTGCATGACACTGCGGGCCTTGCTGCCTTCTGTCCGTCTGCAGAGGTGTTAATGAGCATTTGGGTCTGAGGTTGCTGCTGCTGGCCCCCACCCCAACTCACAGTAACACCTAATGCTGTCTGAGCTGCTATATACCTAGGAAGGTTTTGTTTCCCACCCCTGGTCTCTCTGTGGCCCAATTTGAGTCCCAGGGTTTTTTTTTTTTTTTATCATTTATTTATTTATCTGATATGGGATCTCTACACAGCTCAGACTCATAGTGATTCTCTTGTCTCAGCCTCCCCAGTGCTGGGATTAAAAGGCTGCACCGCCACATCAGTACTGGGGATTGAACCTGGGTCCTTGTGCTTGCCAACAGGTGCTTAGACCACTGAGCTGTCTCCGTGGTTCCCAGGTGTTCTAACTTGACTCTGGGTCTCATATTCTCAGGCCTTCAGGGGATACTTAAAGGCAGCAGTTGTCTGATGTATGTGGACCTAATGGCCTGGGTCATCTTGACTTTCCTGTGTTTTGCTATGTGACCTACCAAGAGACTCGGATCAGTCCTTTTAAACTGATCTGTCAAGCTGTAAAATGTCAAGATTGTAAAGACTCTGTCTTGGGGGAGGCATGACAGAGAAGCCATGAGCATGTGTGTGTCTTTCTCCTCCCATTTGCCACCTTAGGAGATGACCCGGCAGGGATTTAGGAGGCTGCATGTTCAGGCTCCTCTCCTGAATGTGTCATCCATACACATGGGGAAATTCTGCCCAGTATAACCTGAACAGAAATCTAGAGAACTTAAGCGGAGGGCTGTGCCAGGGTCACCATCACCATTAGCATGTGGCTGGCACAAAGTGTGCACATGCCCTGAGCCATGCCATGCCGTGCCACGCACGCTCAGCCACCCTTGGAAACCTCCAGGAGGAGGCAGAATTGTGTTGGGCACTCATGGACACTTGATAAAACCCTTTTAAGGAAAGTAGGAACACAAAATTCAGGATTGTAGTTCCAAGACTTAGGTGGGGGCATTGGGTAAAGGGCTTGGTTACTAGCTGCACCCTGGTGTGGCTTCTTCCTATTGTGCCTGGCACGCTGTGTGTGCATCAAGATTTGTTCAGTGTTGTAGACCAGATGGTTTCAGTCTCAGACAGGTACCTGTTTTCCTTTGGCTGCTGTCACTAACAAGCTGGTTTAAAACAGCAGAATTTACTCTGTCTGTCTCTCTCTCTCTGTCTCTCTCTGTCTCTGTCTCTCTCTCCCCCCCTCCCTCTATCCCTCTCTCCCTCTCTCCAGAAACAAGCAACAGGGTGTGGGTAGGGCCCAGGAAGAAATAGAGACGATGAGGAAATACCAGAGATAGGCACAGCCCCACGCTGCCTGAGAGTAGCAGGCCCACTCGGGTTTCCACCTTCCCCATCGTCCCGGAGACATGCGGTGGAGTTGGCAGAGGTGTGAGCAGATGCAGTCTCGCGAGCATGGGCGCAAGGCTGGCTCCAGCTGCTGGGGGGCAGCTGGCAGTACACACACAAGCCCACTGCGGCCCCAAGCTGTGACTGCAGTGCCCTGGGCTGCACGCCACACTGCTGGAGCTGGAGCACCCATGTGGAAGGGCGGCATGCAGCTCTGCGCTGCAGTGAGCGGCACCTGTTCCAGCTTCTGAGCGCCCCATCCCTGAGGTTTCTCATTAGAACAAACAGAGCCTGGGGTCTGAGTCCACCCAGCCCACAGAATGCCGTCCTCACCCCCGTGTCACTCGGGGCAGCATCCTTTGGGGAGAGGTGTGCTGTGCTGCCTGCTGTGGTGTGGCCTCTGTGGGTTTGGTGGGAGCAGGGCAGTCTGTACCACACGTGTTGTGCTGCTGTAGCCAGTGTGGGCTTGAACAGTCACAGCCTTAAACCACCAGATAGAGCCACGGCAGCTCCCTGGCCTGGCATTCCTTGTACCAGCCAGGTGTCCTTGGCCTTCAAGGTGGCCTTGCTGGAGACTGGAGGCTGAGACAGCCACAGCACTACAGCCTGGGAGAGGCGGGCCTGATGGAGCCCCTGCTGCCCAGGCCCTTCGCATGGCCAGCGCCGCCATCTCTGCTGTGCCTTCATCGCAGCCCGGGCTGCTCTGTGCCCGGCAGACACCTGGCCTTGCGTGCAGCTGTGGCCGCCTTCTGCCGAGCTGAGGCGCACTCTCAGGGAGGAGAGAGTCCCGAATGGAAGTGCTAGGTGTGCCCGCGGATAGGACTCGGGTGGATGTACTCTGGCCTCCCATGGCCGCGGGTGCGGCCTCTGCTCACACCCTCCCCCAGGCCCAGGAGCTAGGTAGGGGCTGCAGAGCTGCGTCTAGCATGCCACTTGGCGGGGCCTTCCCAAGCCACCTCCAGTCAGGTCTGACCCTGGCCTGAGACACCAGTCCCCGTGTGCTGTGAGCGCAGCCAGAGCACTTACCGTGGGGCTGCGTGGGTCATTGCATTTTATGGTGGACGCACATTCCTCTCTCCACAGAAACACGAAGACACTGAGTGCCCCTGTGTGGTGGTGTCCTGCCCTCACAAGTGCAGTGTCCAGACTCTCCTGAGGAGCGAGGTCGGTACAGCAGCCTGGCCGGGCAGGCGGGTCCGCGAGGTCTGGGCTGTGGGGTAGGCTGCACTCCCCCTGAGCTGCTAGATCCAAGTCTCATGCAGCTCTCAATCTAACATGCAAGGCAGCAAAACAAAGTGCCAGGAAAGCTTTGAAAGTCAGAAGGAAGCAGCAGTATCCTACAAACTAGCAAATTGAAAGTACTGTGAGGATATGAAAAGATGGGGGGACTGTTGCAAGCAAAGGTAACCTTAGTGTTTTAAGATTCGCTCTTTCCAGGTGAAGAAAACAGTGCATTCCTGTGAGGCTGCCTCACAGCGGGTGACTATCAGCCTATCTAGGCCTGGGCAGGCAGCCTGGATCAGGCGGTGAGCAGGGAGCCCGAGTCCTGCATATGCTCTGTCGAGCTGTTTTGAGGCTGCCGATTTGGCGCATTCTTCTTTGGTCAACACATCTTGCAATTGGAAGCTCTGAGGGCTACTTGACTGTTGGTGGTTGTGCTTTGGAGCCCTGGCCCTGGGAGTCCTCCCGGGAGCCCTCGCAGACCCTGCTCACCTCAACCTTTTCCGGCTGCCTGAACTCTTACCCTGGCCATGGCGGGCACCCCATGTTCTCATGCAGGCCTAGCACGGGGACACAGGACTCTGACTGCCGTCCCTGCCCAAGTCATCGTGTGACCTTGACAGGGAAGTGGCCTGGTGATAGAGGCCCTGGGCCCGTGTGTGTGCCTCTGGAAGGAGTCGGGGGTCTGTGTGTAAATTACTGCTGGATGCCCCCACAGAGCTGTTGTGGAACAAGGGCTCTACACCACTAAACTAACCTGCGCTTTTACCAGTCCCCCCCTAAACTCCTTGCTCAGCTCTAAATCAAGGCAAAAGTTGCCTCTATTCTGCTTCTAAGTTGTTTCTGTTTCTTTTAAAAGTCCTTCAACCTGAATTTCTCTGGTTTTTGGTGGAAGTTGCCTTTGACTCTGGGTTATCCTTACCTCTAATCCAGAGTTTCTGTGAATTCTGAGAGTACTGGTAATAAAAACACTGACGCTCATCCATGCAACGTAGCCAGCCCCTGACTGACCTGAGGGGTGTTAGCTCCTTAGGTTCATGAGTGTTCATTGCACTGAGCAAACGCATTTTACAGCCTGCACTTAGCATCTCTAGACGCTCTGTGGGTCCATGCAGCCATATCCATGACTGTGGGGTCTTTCCAGGGCCCGGGCACCCAAGGCTGCTGACCTTGACTGCTGTGACCCCTCCAGATCACAGATAGCCTTGAAGGGTGGCCCTGCTTGGGTCCCCGGGCCATTCCTGCCATGCGGCCTCCCCTCGACTCCCTAGCTGGGCAGAGCAGAGGATGCTGGGCTGCACCTTCCTGTGTCTACATTGTAGGCCCAGCTCCCGTCTGCCTGTGCCGCTGGCCGGCACCAAGCACAGAGCAGCCCCCAGCTGTAATAACCTCCACCATCCCCTGTCTTTACAGTACAGCTTTTCCAGTTCCCTTTCTCTGCCCCAGCTAACATTAGAGCTGAGCAAGCGGGTACTCCTTGCAGGAGAGGCTGTCTCTTTCAAGCCTTCCTAACTTCCCTGCTGTCACTTAGAGGAGGCAACGTGAGGTTCATGCCATTGGAACGGCTTAGAGGTCTTTGAAAACTCATGAGTTCCTGGCCAGGCCGGGAAAGAGGCTTTTCAGAAGAAGGAAAACCCATCTCCAGTTAGCTCAAGTATTGCGAGTAACAGTGCACTACAGGAGCTTACTTTGAAAACAGATTTATTTTCATGTGTATTAGCTATGCGACCCAGTTGCATCCCAAATGCTCTATATTTTTTGTGTTTCATGCAATTTTTGTTTATAGTCTTTAAGTGTGCATTTCAGTTTGCATTGGTTTTTTTTTTTGTTTGTTTGTTTGTTTTCAAATTCTGGCCCTTCAGACAGCATGTCACATTTTGAACAATTTGTTCTAAAGAAACTACAAGTTTGAGGCCCGTTATGGTGAATGTATTTCTGTATATTGGTGTGTGTGTGTGTGTGTGTGTGTGTGTGTGTGTATACATGTGTGGTACTGTATACTTACTGCCCAGGGTTCTGACAGCAGGCCGTGTGACACACGTGTAGCTGGTGAACACGCTGAGCAGTACAGCCTGATGCTGTCTGTGCTCTGATATGTTTGAACATTTTCATGCAAACATTTGTGCCACAACTCACGTCTCTTTCCCGTTGCAGTTGAGTGCACACTTGTCAGAGTGTGTCAATGCCCCCAGCACCTGTAGTTTTAAGCGCTATGGCTGCGTTTTTCAGGTCAGTATCCGACATCTGTCCTTCCCACTAACATCCCGCCACGAGAGAGAGTGCTCATGTTCCTATTTCCCCTTTCGAGTTCTGGATTCTCAGTCTGTGTCATGAACTTCAAGACCCTGCTGCATGGGTGGTGGGAGCCGCGTGCAGCAGGTATGGCACTCGCTGGCCAGGCTGATGTCGCCCAGCCGGGGAGGGACACGTCATGCTGACACCACTGGGCGCTCTCAGGAAGTCCTGGGGATGACCTGGCTAGACGCCACCTGCATCCAGTGTATGTCATCTTTTTAGCACGTCTGAGATTGCCAGTGAGTTAGGACCAAGGTTTTATTTAAATGCCTGAATTTTCCAATGTGTCAAAAGGCAAAGTATATCACAGTTCCTGTTGTGTATTTAGTTCTCTGCAACACAGCACATGATCCCAACACCAGTAGAGATCCCGGCTTACTGGTGTTCGAGAGAGCCAAAGGCCGAGAGAGTTCCCTCGCTGTGGTCTGCAGGAGGCCGAACCGTCTGTCCTCGTGCCGTCATCTGTGTATGTGTATATACACGTTGACAGGGAGCCGTGCCCTATCAGCATGTATATATGGATATTCTATGTACAGAGTATATGTTTTGGAGATCATGACAGTACTTTCCCTGGCTTCTTAATTTTCCAATATCAAAACAAATTAGATTTTCTTCCTGATAGTTTTCTAAAACATACGCAGTGCTGTTTTAGTATGCTTATTCTTGATTCCCAAGTGGTCTGCATCTTATGTACTCTGTAGATCGTTTATGTTCTGTATGTAGCTTCCGAGTGCAGCTACCTGCTGAGGGGCGGTCCCTTCCGGACGCAGTGCGTCTGAGCTAGTCCATCTGTAGTTGCAATTCAGAACCTGCTGGCTACACTGCGTTCGCAGCATGTAGCTACAGGTATCTGAATGTTTGACATTTATATTTTTAAACAGAAAGAATTTTTAACGGAACAAGAATGAGTCTGAAATTTAATTTTTTGACATTCTGGTGTGAAACGTTGATAAGAAGCCACTGGGCATGAGAATGGGAGGGCAAAGCAGAGCACAAGGCGGGCCTGTGGGCCCCTCTGCCTCCCTGTGCGGAGCCTGCTCGCTGTACATGAATAGGTCCGTGCGTGCCTTGCTTGGTCCTGTGCCAGTGCCGCGTCCCTCCAAGCGTGTGATGCGTCAGTGGTGTTGTCCTTGCTCCCCGCAGGGGACAAACCAGCAGATCAAGGCACACGAGGCCAGCTCCGCTGTGCAGCACGTCAACCTGCTGAAGGAGTGGAGCAGCTCGCTGGAGAAGAAGGTGAGACGCCTGCTGGGCCTCGAGGTGTGTGACCCCAGGATGGTGCCAAGAGCCTCTGGGATGGGAACTTGTGCTTCTGAGCTGCTTCTAATGGTCAAGCAAAGAAGCAGCAACTGTATTTGTAAGACTTTAAAACAAAAAACAAAAAACAAAAAACACATCATGGGGGGCCAGGGAGATGGTTCAATAGAATAAGTACTTCCCTGGCAAGTGCAGGAGCCTGAGTTCAATCCCTGGTTCCGCCAAAAAAGCCAAACCCACATTGTGGTTATGCTAGCATTGTTCTCGAGTGGAGGTGGGCCAGCATTCCCCTCACAAGCTGCTGTGAGGCCTGGGGCTGCACAGCAGAGCGCTCAGGACCGCCAAGGGCACAGCTGCCAGGTGAGCCAGCGCGCTGAGGTGCTGGGCCCAGTGCTGCTCCTCCTCCCGGCTGTGTGCAGAAGGCTGGCTGGGCCTGGGCGGCTGTGGCCACCTCCGTGAAAACCCCTTGCTGGGAGTCTGTTCCCCGGCGTTCGGCTGGGAGGCTGCCTGCTGATGACAGAGGTGTTATAGGATTTCCCACTGGGGCTCATTTATAGAAATAAAACTGACTTCAGCCCAAGAACTTTCAGGGGAGGTGGACATGGGGATGAATCCTAGCAGCTGGAGGTGGCGGCATTTGAGTTTTTGGTTTGTGTGTTTGTTTTTTTGATGGTACCAGGGATCGAAGTCAGGACCTTGTGCTTGCCAGGCAAGCTATCTCCTTGGCCTCAGGCATTTGAGGTTTTAAGATTCATGTCTTTTAGTGTCAGTGTGCTTGAGAGACCTTCGTTAAAGCAGAAGATTCCATGAAGGCTGGCACAGGAAAGTTCACTGATAGAGAGACCCTGAGAAGCCAGCAGCAGTGAGGTCGGGGTGGGTGTGATCTGGTTGGTTGGTCCGTGAGCACCAGTCACACGTGGAGACCACCATGCGCAGGAGTTGCCACGTGGCCTGAGTTCAGGAAGGGTCTATTTGTCACATTCTTTCTTCATTTTGAAGAATGCATTCTGATTCTACTGTTTTTAATTGGAGGCATAAATGACAGGTGTCCTGTCTTCTGGGCACCGTGTTTGTTTAAATGCTTCTTTCTCTTTGAAGAGTATTGCTGCTGCTGTTCTGTGGACCATGGGGTGGCCTCATTCCTCAGTGTTACCTGCCAGGCCCCAGCCAACACTGAGGGAATAAGGGGCATCAGGCACTGGCCCCCAGGTCTTAGAGTCCTCACCAGGCTCCCAGGTGTGTCTGCCGTCCACTCGCCTAGGCCAGGAGTGTCCATGTCCGCATTCTCCTGTCCCATCGTAGAACCATTCTGCCAGAGCCTCCCAGAAAGTTCAAAAAGACCAGTCCTCCCGTGGCACACATAGCTAAGGAAGAGATGCTATAAGTCCAAGTTATTAAATTAACCCACGTGACAGTTCAGGAACATTACAAATGTAGGGCACCTGCACCATAGTGGGCTGGGACTGAAGGTTCAGGCAGTCTAAGGACCCTGCTCCCCCAGCTGTGTGGCTGCACGCAGCGCTGCCCACCAGACCCCGAGTGCAGGGCAAGGTGGTGATCCCTGTGGGCACCCAAGAGTCGGTTTCTTTGAGTCAAATGAAATTGAAGTGCAGGAACCTGGAAAAAAGCTCAGCAAGCTCATGGGCGCAGTGTGTTCGTTCCTCTGAGTTGCGTCTGCTGCACTCACAGACTTGCTTTGTTTCAGGAAGGTCAGAGTTTTTGGAGATGATGTTGAGGTTTTTGCCCAGAGTTGGTGTACACGGTGTCTCTTTTGCGGGGAGTAAGAGCAGAATCTGAAGATTGGCAGTAATGAGCGAGTGGAGGCTTCAGGAGAGGCGGAACCGCCATGCACGGGAACCACCATGAGGCGCCACCATTCTGATTCAACACAGGCTGGTCTCGGACTCGTGGCGTTAGAGAGTTGTGTCTGGGGAAGAAAACTGACTTGTGCTGAGTGGAATCCCGGGACAGAAGGGGAAGCTGTATTTTTCCCGTGACACAGAACAAATTGTGTCTGCCTTGGTAGACACACACTCATTGTAAAGTAGAGCAGGTTGTGGGTCTCATCTGTAGAGCCTCCTAAAGTAGGCTGTGACGACTGGAGCGCTTCCATCTTCAGGCCAGCTGTGCTTTAATCAGACAGCATCAGCTAGCATCTTGTCATGCTATTCTCTCCTGAGATGACCTCCAACTGTCACCTTGCAGAGTCCAGGTGGCTGTGAATGTGGAATTTGGTCTCTGCTGAACTTGTGGCCTTCAAGGGCAGGGACACCTGATGGTGGACAGAGCTTTTTCCCTGAGGGTGAGAATCCTTTCATGTGAGACCCCAGAAGCCAGGAGCTGAGGGGGGCTGTCCTTGGGCCCCTCATCTTGGAACCTTTTAAGACCAGGTATCAGCTAGGCCTAGGGGTCTACTGGAATCCCAGCATCTGTGAAGCTGAGGCCCAAGGGTTTGGAGGTTAAGGCCAGCGTAGGCATTATAGACTGGCTACCAAAAAAAAGCAAGCCACCTGGTGTGTAGTGTGTAGTGAATTTCTTAACTGGTGGTCAGCTTATTACACTTAGCTGAATTGAACTAGTGTGAGGCCCACCTGAAGACTGTTGCCAGCGGTATAACAGGCAGAACTGGGGAAGCTGCTGGCGCTGTTGGAAGCTGCTGGTTCTGTTGGGCTGTTCTGCTGGAGGACATTGTCATGCTGGCTCTCTTGATGAACTTGGCTGTTCTTGTCGCCAGAGGAGCTTGGGACCTTGGTCATCGCTGAGAATGGCTGTGGTTCACTTTGGAGGTGCTTTGCTCCTCATCTTGAGCATTACTTCCTGGTTCTGGAGGGGAAGATGGTACACAGCTCAGCCTCATGGAGAAGCTTGTCCTGCTGGCTTTCCTGATGGGAACTCAGCTGTCCTCATCGCTAGAGAAGCTGAGGGGGCTGTTAGGGAAGCTGCTGCGAGAAGCTGCTGGCGCTGTTGGAAGCTGCTGGTTCTCTTGGCTATTCTGCTGGAGGGCCTTGTCCTGTCAGCTTTCCTCATCGCTGAGTTCAGGACCTCGCTGTCACTGAGGATGGCTGTGGTGTCCGGGGCGCTCTGGTGCTTACCTTGAGCGGGGCTTCCTGGCTCCAGCTCAGATCCTCAGCCCGCTGGCGCAGACCCTTCATCCCGCTGGCGCAGACTTTCCAGCTTCCGCCGCTGACCTTTGGGCCTTCCCGGCACGGATCTGTGAGGTGGGCCTGCATGACACGTTGTCGTGGGCTCTGGGCCTCTGTGAGGCTGTGAGAGGCATTGTTGTGCTGTCTAGGTTTTCAGCTGCACTCATTCAGGATAGTAGGATCCAGGCCCTGAGCTGGAGTCTGTGGTCTTTAGTGTATGTGTATAGACAGAGTTTTTGCACTCTCTGTATATGATTATTTGGATGATTCATTATAAATATGATCCTGTATTTGTATTGTTCCCCTTGCAGAACCCCAACCCATGACCAAGCCAGTCTGGCCTTGGGTGCTGTTCTCTATAGAGTGTGGTTTTTGCAGAGGTCAGCAGTATGCCTGGCGTGCCACCCTTCGAGCCCTTCTGTGACTGGGTAGCAGGTGACTCTCTTGGTCTCAGCTTCTGCCCACAGGCTGCTGGACTGCCCATGGGGTCGGATGGATCCTCGAGTGGTTTTGGTTTGTCAACCAGGCTTCCCACTGGGCTGGCACTGTCCACACTGTAGGAGGCATCTGCAGAGGGTGGGTGACCTAGTGGGCTGCGGCTGGTGGTTTCCAAATTGGCAAATAGTGACCGTGTGTATTTATGAGATGTAATGTAATATTTTGACAAGTTATATGTTGTGGAAGGTGTAAACCCTGTTGGTTAACATACATACACTTTTTTCTTTTGGTACCGGGGATTGAACTTAGGACCTTGTGCTTGCCAGGCAGGTGCTTAAGCCACTGAGCTATCTTCCCAGCCCCACATACATATTTTTTCTGTGTAGTGTTAACATTTTATTTATTTTTATTAATTTTAATGAGAAAGAAAGGTGTTAGGTGTTAACATTTTAATATCAACCTTTTTGTTAGATTAATTGAATGTCTTTTTCAGGTTTCCTTGCTGCAGAATGAAAGTGTAGAAAAAAACAAGAGCATACAAAGTCTGCACAATCAGATCTGTAGCTTTGAAATTGAGATCGAGAGGCAAAAGGAGATGCTTCGAAACAACGAATCCAAAATCCTTCACTTGCAGGTAAGTGACTTGGGAGTGCGCAGGTCCAGGTGGCTTTGGCTTTCTCGATGCCAGCGACCTGGGGCGGGCAGGAGGACCAGGTCTGTGCCTGGGCAGCTGCCCAGCCTCTTCTGTGTGCCTTTGATCCCTGCAGGAGGCAATGCCATGGGTTTCAAAAATGAGCTGTGTGGCTCTGTGTGTGTGTGTGTGTGTGTGTGTCTGTCTGTCTGTCTGTCT